TTATTATTATTGTTATTGTTATTACATTTAAGAGTTAAGTTTTTTTAGTATTATTAACATATGTTCTAGGACATATATTAACATATTTAAAATGATTGGACTTATCTGTAAAACTAGGGTAGATGATGAAATTACAATTTAATGCTTTAATGACATCGTATCCTAAAAACATTAGTAAAAAACTAAGATAACCAGGGTAAACAAGTAAATCCTTCTCCTCCACAAATAAATTATTCTATTTTTAAAAAAAATTATATTGCCAATAATAGAAACTAAATGAATACATAATCTTAATAATAAAGAAATACTAAACAAATTACAATATATTATTAACTAATCACATGGACGCGAGGTCTTCATAACAGACCAAATAATTTCTACTCCCACAAAGGAGGAGGAAAACAACCAAGGGAGGTGGTTTAGTAGAGAATGCAGTTCTCTCCACAGGGATGACCTAGGTTCACATCCTGGGTGGTGCGAATCTACTGGATTATCCAGTTGGCTCTTTTCAAAACCTCTCAATGTGTTTCGATCGACTTTAAGTTCTTCTGTGGCGTGTGACTGAACTCTATTGGTGCCTAAGTGATGGGTTCTTTTTTATAGATTGGATTAAATTTGACCGACACCTAATAACCAAGAACTAGGGCCTACGGATACGGTGACGACACTTCCTATTTAAAAATAAAAAATAAAATAAAAAAGGAGAGGAAAGGTTGGAGCGTGACACCCCTTCTATAGGTTGGGCTCACCGATCTTACATTGGGCTTATAGGCCCAACAAGTAAAAACGAATAAATTATTGCCCAAAGATGTCTTGGACCAATATGAACAAAGAAACAAAAATGTAAATGCATTATGCAACATCATGGAAGGGGAGATTCTATTTACACTAAAAAAATCATTAAGTATGCTTAATTTCTCGGTATTTTTTATTAAATTATTTAAAATTATAAATTACTCTCAATACGTTTTATATTTTTTCACAAATCATCCTTCAAAGTATACCTAAATAGTAACAAATCAAAAATTTCAAATTACAACACTTTGAAAAAACATTCAAAAGTCCTTAAAACAAATTTGTCATTACAACTATCCATTTTATTCACATACAAAGAACGATTGGTGTGAGTTATTTTATATGACATCATATTTACTTATGTGTTCCTATTATATTAGTGATAACCCCATGAAACACTTTATTGAAAAACCCCATGATAATTTCATAAAAATCAAAAAAACACTTTTGTTGTTGAATCTCTATGGCATCTCTGAATGAACAATCTAACAATTTTCAAGAACTAAAGCTTTTCAAGATAATAATAGTTTATGTTTGATTAATTGAACAAAACATGACTTATTTTTCGATTTGATTAATTGAAAAAGATACTTTTTTTTTAATTTGATTAATTGAATAAAAAAATTATGTTCTTGACAATTCTCATAAATTTTATTTATTTATTTATTTATTTTTACAGTGGCACATTATTCTGTTCCTGTTCTATTATATTTGTAAGTAACTACATAATAAAAAAAATAATGATATTGATGATAATTGTGAGTTTTGGTAAAATAAATTGAAGTTTTGGAGTGAGAAAAAAGATAAAGAGAAAATAATTAAAATTTGACAAAAAAAGATGAAAAGTATTGAATATGAAAAATATATATAATTAATTTAGATATATCATGAGAAAAAAATAATATCTTATTTTAGAATTAATCTAATATTGTCTTTATTAATAAATTTACATTAAAATATAATAAAAAATAAAATTTTAAATTTTTATTAAACCTATGGAATTATTATTTAAATGTGAATAGGATCACACTAAATAAAGGCATGTTTGCTGTCATCATAATGATAAATGTGAGTGGTGTGACACTGAGCCTCATCATCAAATAATAATTTGAATTGAACACCATTTCTACCAGGCCCATCGTCACATCTTGACTTGACCATTGTACACCTAATTCCAAAAACACACATTATGTGGAAATGCCCCAAACCCTCCCAAGTCTCACAATTCCTTGGGCCCCTATATTTAAGAGAAGGCCCCACATGATAGTACTGCCTAATTAAACACATGAACACCATTGAAGAAAACGTGGGTGTATCCAGGGCCACACCATGCATCTATTTTCAAAACAATTAGACTGTATTTAGTTTATGAATTTAAACAGAATGTAAGATAAATTGATAGAGAGAGAAGGAGAGAATAAATTGTATTGATGAATATTATTATTGATATGATTTACAACACTCTCATTTATACAGAGGAAAGGTGATACACATAGGATACTAATTAACACACACCGAAAGAAGAAAACATAATTATTAAACACTTTACATATTATATTCTAACAGCCCCCCTCAAACTCAAGGAGGATAGGAACCAACCAACTTGAGTTTGGAGAGAGTAACAAAACAGAAAAATTAGGATAGAAGACACTGGATGGTCGTGTCGAACCGTTGGTGAAGACACTGTATGGTTGTGTCAGACTGTTGTAGGAGCTAACCGAAATCAATGTCGGGACAGTTTACGGGGTCATGTCGGACCATGTAGAAGCTGACCGGAATTAATGTCGGGACAGTTTACGGGGTCATGTCGGACCATTGTAGAAGTTGACCGGAATCAATGTCAGGACAGTTTACGGGGTCATGCCAGACCGATGTAGAAGCTGACCAGAATCAATGTCAGGACAGTTTATGGGGTCATGCCGGACCGATGTAGAAGCTGACCGGAATCAATGTCGGGACAGTTTACGGGGTCATGCCGGACCGTTTGTATAAGATTGTGGTGGTGCACCAAGGGGGCGACTTAGGGAGTGCGCCATGGGGTGACTTGGGTGGTTCCCATGGTATATAACCATGCTCATTATGATATATGTATAACCCCCCCCAAACTCAAATAGGTGTGAAGATAGAAACCTATTTGAGGTTGAAATAAAGGGAAGAATAAAGTGGAGTAGAATGGCTCAACACAGAGTAGAGATGTAAAAAAAAAAAACATTTTTTTTTTTGGTGGAATATAAAAAAATAATAAGATAATGGAAAAAGGGTTGATACTCACCAACTGAGTTGTATAATAATGAAATATTGAGGGAAAAAGAAAGATAGAAAAAATAAAAGAAAATAAAAGGAAGGTAGTGGAAACAAGAATCTCGAAAGGCAATGGAAATTTGAATTTGTGGATTTTGTGAATAATAGTCTGTGATGGTAGGCTGGCACTGTGAGTATTGGATACTGTTGTGCTTGTGATAAAAGAAAATAAAATAGGATAAAATAAAAAGGTATGGTTGCATGGGGGAGAGACACACACTGGACACACACACAGAATACACAGGATATAAAAAAGATAAGATAAAATAAAGAAAGGTATTCTATGTTGAGGGTGAGGGAGTCGGTGAGTAGAGTGCAAAAGGTAAAGGAAGATAGGTGGGAAAGTTGACAAAGTGGTGGGTGTCCTTGAGTGGAGAGAGAGTGCTTTTGATTTTTGTGTTTTTTTTTTTTTTTTTTTTTTTTTTTTTTTTTTTTTTTTTTTGTGTGGTTGAAAGCGCACACAGATTTTTTTTTTAGTGCCTGAATATTTGCTGGAGCTCCAATCCCCTACTTCGCGACAAGTTTATGTACCCACTTTGGAGTCTTCAGCATGTTTTTTCCACTAGCAAGTGGATGCAACACAGTCAGGAGGTAATACAGATGCCCGGCAATGATTCCCAACAGATCTGGCATAAGTTATGAGCCAAAAATAACATCCAAAGCAAGTGAAGATTTGTTGTTGAAGCTCAAGTGAAGATTTTGAGATCTAATGGTCGTGATTTTGAGAAACAATTGCTTGATGAGAAAGATAAGTAGAGAGGTTTAAAGCTCTCTCAATATTCAATTGTTCGTTTGTTTGTTGTTTAGAAACGGACGTGAAGCTGTGTTTCGATCTGCGTTAGTTTCAGCCGTGTACAGCGGAGCGAAGACTATGAGTGAAGATGAGTTGCTGCTGCTTCCATGATGGTGGTGGTGAGGATCGGTGGCTTTGGCGAGACAATGGAAGTGGCGGAGATGAGTGAAAAGTGGAGCTGTGGCTGCCGAAGCTGTTGCGGCATCAATGGTAGCCACAGTTGTAACCGCCGATGGTGTGCAAGGTGGCGTGGGTCTTCGGTGACGACGATGGCGCCTAGAGTGGCAGCAATGGGCTGTGATGTGGCTGGCCACAACAGCTACATCTACTCACCAAAAAGATCTGAAATCCAGTCGAAGAGAGAAAGGGAGCTTTTAAAGTTGGTGTGGCCGGAGATTGACCTCCAACGCCGGCGACGACAATGCAGATAAAGCTACAACATAGACGGACCTGCGATCCATATCCACGGCCTCACTGGTGTGAAGGTGTTGATTATTCCCTCAGAGAGACAAGAGTTCAGTTCAGTTATGGAATTTGTGGCAGCGGAGTGAAGGTATGTGTAGAGGTCCGGCGGGCGGCCAAGGCGAGACTGCCGCCCGCCGGTGAAGCAGAATGACTAGGTTGTTAACCTAGCTCTGATACCATGTAAGATAAATTGATAGAGAGAGAAGGAGAGAATAAATTGTATTGATGAATATTATTATTGATATGATTTACAACACTCTCATTTATAGAGAGGAAAGGTGATACACATAGGATACTAATTAACACACACCGAAAGAAGAAAACATAATTATTAAACACTTTACATATTATATTCTAACACAGAAATTTAAAAAGGGAAATGAAAAAATTAAGTAAAATATGAATAAAATATAATTATATTTCACACTTTTCACTTTTTTCTTTTCACTTTTTAAATTCCTACCTAAATTCATAAACCAAACACAACATTAAGCAAATCAGCATTAGAAACAACTAAAAGTACTTTAGGAAGCAAATTTGCTAACATTGCATTCAAGTGTGTACATACAGGTAAACATGGGAAGCAATGGCAATAATCATCCAATCACTATAGAAGGTAAACTAACTGGTAAGAAAGCCACTTTGATTACAATCAATACTAAACAAACAATATATTAAAAGTTAATAATGACACTAATCAAATGTGCCAAACCATTTAGATTGGTTCAACCAATTCCGTCTCATCTCCATCTAAAACATGCTAACACTTTTTACCAAAAACGAAAAGGGAAACATTAACGGAGTTTTGGAATCAAACTGAAGGAAAAGGCAATGGGATGATAACCAATTAACTTGGAATGAACCTAAACGAAATACTGGATGAGGCACAAAGGATGGGAGCATAATAACATATAAAGCACTCGATGACAATCTTAATTTCCAAAGCGAACAAACATTGTTTAGGCATCAGCAACAATGGCAACACCAAAATATTATAAATGCTGCAGATGTCTAACATCTTCTATGAGAATGGTATAAGCTTCTAGAAATTTCCTAACATTAATATGGCATAGCATGTGCACATGCAAACTAGGACTGAAATTAGACTCTACCTAAACAATCTTACAAGCACAAGCATCAGAAGCAATTATTGTTTCTCCAAAGGCATCCCATTAACCATCTCCAACTCTGTCTTGCAATTCTCTCTCAAATCTTTTAGTGCGAGCAAACTGGTTTCCTGCCACACAAAATTGGAACTAACTATTAATAAATAAATAAAAAATTGAACATAATAATAAAAATAAAAAAAGGGCAATATAACAATCTTGTTTGACCATTAAGGAAGTAAAGTTAGGAACAACAGCTTAAAAAAACGCCACATGCATCTCACATAGTCACATGACTGGTCTGTAAACATCGATTGTCATCCAATCATGTATCATGTTTGAGCAGACTTTATATCTCAAAACATGTGTTGCATTGTATACTATATTCTGTTAACACCTTGTATTATAAATTGAAATTTTCAAACTAATTGAAAAGTATGTGCAAAATATAAATATGTTAATTTTGAAACTGGAGAAATGCAATGCAGTACTGATAATGTTATTTCCATGATTGTCATATTTTTCCAGTTGAGATTGAATATTGGGTATAGATGTCGGATTTAAAATCAGGATTTCATTGCTTCAGAATTATGAGATCTCACAAACTTATAATCATGTATAAACATTTTCTTGACATTTCATCGCTTTGGCTTGCAATGCTTCATCATAAAGGGTTGGTATTGCTTCACTTCTATAGAAAGCAACCTTGTGCACATGCGTAAACATGAATGCATTCTATTGTCCATTTTTTTGGCAAGTAAAATCATATATTTCATAGAGGATGAAAACATGAAGGTACAAAGAAAACAACAGGGGATAGAACACCCTACCAGACCACAACTAACAGCCAGCTAAAACACAACCAACCAAAACTTGAGCTAACACTGGCTCTCAAAAATCAAAACAGAAAACAGAACCAATACAACCATCAAAAACACCCCAATCAAACGACAGAGAAATCAATTATTAAACTAAGTTTTAAGGATTTTCGTAGAAATGACCATGCTAGGAAAAGCTGCCAATTTGCTTTGCATTCTATTCTCTATTTTGTCTTCTGCAAAAAGATGACGTGGTGATGTAATCAATATACTGCTATGAAAACCACAGGACGTTCGACATATCACCTCTTGAATGCAACCAACCGCAATAAATAGACTTACTTAACATGGTAGATCTCAAATCTGACAAGTTATCTATCTCAAGATACCATTCTTGACATACTGCTAGTCTGTTTCCTCACTTCTCATTAGAAAATTAGATCCAGACATGATAAACTTGACCAATAAGAGCAATTTAGATGGCTGAAATCCGTTTATAAATATGTAATTAGTTTTATTTTCCCAAGACACATTTGTTTATGGTTTTACTGATTCACTAAAATTCCCTTCTTCACAATCTGTGTATTTTGTTTTTTTAAATTCAGTCCATGGATTCAATGCGTATCAAGTAGAGGCGGCAAACTCAATCCGAACACATAAATCCACCCAAGTACAGTTATTTGACACCTATTTAAACCCATCCAAATTCATAATTGAGTTTAAGTAGGTTGCAAGTTGTGAACCCAATTAAAATTGAGTTTAAACGGGTTGGACATGGATTACCTATTTATACAGATGCCACTACCTCCACCTCACCACCACCACCACCACCACTATCCCACCACCACGACGTCCTCAAATTGGTGTAAAATTATGTGTCCAATTAATTTTTACTAGACACATAATTGACTTTTCATTGAGAAATTTACGTCAAATTCATTTGTGCTCACTCCTTGTCTACTACTGCATTTGATCAATTTTTTGGAAGTAATGTTCAAAAACTTCATTTAATCTTCCATTTTATATTTTTTTATCCTCATATCCCTTGTAATAATTTTATTTTTTCATTTGCGATTACAGTAAATTATTCTTTACTCTCTTTTTTTCCTTTCTTTTTCTACAAGAGTTAATCAATAAAATAATTACTTAAAATCAATTGTAACACACAATTTTGAAGCATATGAACAGTGGCTTGAGAATCATGGTATAAGCAAGTGCCAAAAGCCAACTAATAATCAGCTACGGGCCACTGTTATGTACCAACAACTGCAGTAGTTTATCAACAATTATACAGAGGAACTCTCATGATCTTTGGGGGGAATGGTCCCTGCCAACCCTCCACTCCCTTTGTCCATGCCACCATCACCGTTCCCACCACCACCACCGTCTCTGTCAGCCCACCACCACCATTAGAAAAAGAGTTGGATAAATGGGTTGGTCTATTAGATTTGTCTAACTTGTACCCAACAACCGTTTAAACCTGTTTATTAAAGTTGTTTTACTGGACAATCCATTTTGACCCACCCAAACCCAACCATTTTGCCACCCTAGTACTATCGGACATAGAGAATACTATCTATTGGAAGTATCTATGTTTCCTAGGATCCCTTTGTTTTAATTAACCATCTAGGAGATGAAAGCATAAATTATTTTATGAAGTGTGATACATATCGTAAGACCTTGCACCAAATTGTTTAATAAGCTTCTCATACCATATTGCACATTGTAAAATACAAGGCATACTGAAACAAGTAAGATATTGAAAAATATAAGTGTATTGTGAAAATAAAACATTAATGCATAAACATTGGCATGATAGAACTATGGCTAAAAGATGCATTCACTATCAATCCGGCACCTTCAAAATTGAAAAACAAATATGAAAAAATATAATGCATTTTATTGCATTAAATCATTAATCGATTTCAAGAAGTACAAATTTCGCTACACCGAACAAAAGCATTAAGAATACACAATTCAGGTTTCCAATCATATATATGTAAACTGTAAAGCTATGTTCACTCACATTTGCAGGTGCAACTACACTGGCAATGCCACATCAGCTCACCCGGACACAACGTAACACCTTTAAAAAAATTTCAAATTTTGGATTTACATCCTATAGTGAGTTCTCTCTTTCAAATTTTGGATTTACATCCTGTAGTGAGTTCTCTCTCTCTCTCTCTCTCTCTCTCTCTCTCTCAAATTAAAACACATTTAGGCCTCGTTTGGCAAGAGGCTATTTTAGCCAATTAGCCAAAAAGTTACTAAATTAGCCAAAAAGCCAACAACCCATACCAAAAAGTCAAAGATTCTCTTTTCTCTCTACTTTTTGCACATCTTTTCGTAATTAGCCAAAAAGTTATCCCAAACATACAAGTTTTTTTTACTTACCTTTTTAGCCAAATAGCCAAAAAGTTACTAAATTAGCCTGTTCCCAAACGAGGCCTTAAAGCTCATAATCATGGAAGGCATTTTCACAATGCATTATTTACTTTTATGAAGTGCGAACTGCGAAAAGCAAATTCAAAGGCTAGTAAAAGCCACAGCAAGTTCCAAGTAAGTGCTTGAGTTTTGGTTTCAGCCCTTCTTCCAGATGTTCTATGGTTATTACTTTACTATTCCATCCATCATTTGCATTCGTAGGCATTAGAAATCCAGGGAAGAAAAAGGAACAATATACCTTTCCTAAACAATTTTGGTATTACAACCAAACTGCTTAAAAAGGAAACCCAAATTATTTTTAAATGTGAAACACATTCTAAACCTAATAGTAAACAATGTCATAGAAGTTTTTATGCACAACAAAATGGTGTCATAGATGCACAAAATGCTGTCACCATTATAGTTGTAGTTTGTAACAAACTTTGTAATGTGTGATGTGCCATTATAGCTTCTAAGTCCCAAATTCCAGATTACATATCCCACATGCCCCTAAACATTCAAGAGAATAGTAATTGTCATCAAATTCTATGCACCACCTTTTTTTGGTTGTTGGGGGGTGTTAAGGAACAAAGAGAGATCAAGGGGAAGGCTAAGGCACTCGGGGGGGGGGGGGGGGGGGGGGGAGATGGTGAGGAATTTGTGGGGTCAACTGGGTTAGATTACATAAGGAAGCAATTGAAAAACTCAGCCCATATTTCTCCTTAAAACTCAGGTTTTAAGAAAGAAACTGAAACTTTATAACTAACACAAATGAAGGCAACTCCAGGCGATGTAGGACACATTCCAACACACCCTCCTAGACACAACATACACTCGCCGAGTAAATGGCACACCAGTCACAGGTCCAACCAAGTTCTGATACCAAATTAAAAAGCTCAGTCCACATTTCTCCTTGAAACCCAACTTGAAACCCAAGTTTTAAAGAGAAGGAAACTGAAACCTTAACTAGCATAGATAGGGGCAACTCCAAATGATGTGGGATACATTCCAACAGAACTAGGATCCTGCAAATGTGGTGGTGATGGCTTGAGTTAAACCCACTGTCATGCCGACTGTAAGGAGGAAGAGATGCTGGACTGATTGGGTTAAGGAGAAGTTTCAAGGAGTGGATAAACATGTTGGGCTCCCTTTGTCAAAATCTGAGAAAATCACTTTTTTAAAGGTGATAAAAAATAAAAAAATGAAAGAGCAGCAGCAAAACTAGGCAAGAGGGATGAGTTGAAGCCATAGTTTCAAGCAGAAACAGTATTATTGTTTTGCTTATATTTCTAAGCTAGGTTTTTTTTCTTTCTTTTTGTTCCTTTGTGTTTGGGTTGTGCCCTATAATTTGCTAATTTAAGAAGGGAAAAAAAAAAAAAAAAAGGAACAAAAGAAATCAGCACAATCGATCAAATGTATTGAACATATAAATAAGTAGATTTTAAATCCAAAACTAAACAAAACTTTGGAATTATAGTATTTAACTTGAATAGAAAATCATTCAATCTGCGTTTTGCTCCAGAGAAAGTAAGAAGAAAATAGTTAAACTCACAAGTTGGCTGCCTTCACGTACAAATATATCCTCCATATGAAGAAACAGTGACTTCCACTGACCCATAAGATTAGATTCTAACTTTGAGTATTTAGGGCAATTTCCTTGACTATGTTTATCAACTCCCTTGTCCCTGCAACTTCTTTGAACCATAATGCTTGCTTCTTTCTGACTCTTCTTTAGTGCTAGGTAAGCATGAAATAATTATTTTATGGTAAGTAAAAGACGCAAGATTATATGTAGAACTAATATATACCAATGTCAAATTATTAACTGCAACTTTTTTGCAATAACATACCAGCTATTCGACCCTTCATATCCTGGTAGTGGAGGTCTGACAAAATATAAGCAGCTGAATATCACCAAACAAAACAACCATATCCTTATCAGATCAACCATATAGGGAAAAGAAAATTGATAATCACCATTGATGATTGAATGCAATGCCCATAAAATCAAAGCCAAATTAACAAATGACAACTGTAGCCAGGAACTAACAGACTACCTTTCAAGCAAAAAGAACAAGAGCAAGCTTTGATAGAGTCAACATTTGCACTTGAGTTAGCGATTCCATCACCCTTCAACCCTATGCAATTCTCTAGTTTGAAAGATCCAGAACCCTGAGACTCGGGCAATATTGAGCACTCAACAGACCCATTTTTGCCTAAAGTGAAATTATCAGCACCAATAATATGTTTGCAATCCTTTCTGCAAGCATGAGAGACTAATTCCTCACCTCGTAAATCATCTTGTATAATGTCATTGTTGATACAATTTTGTTCAACACCAACACATGATCCAGGGACCATAGGCATTGAAATGCTAGAAACACAGTTGTCTCTAGAGGCATCAACAACTTCTACAACATTGTCAACGACAGCATTGCTTTTACCAAGATGAAGGCTGGCACCAAATGAATTCAACTCCTTAACTTCACTGGTTATTTTTGAGATGCCAGATATAATAATATTTCCCCGCAGTGAATTAATCTCACTGCAAGGACGTGGCGACACACAAGCCTTCTTACCTTTGTCATTGTCATTTACAATGCATCTGATCCCACATTTCTCTTTGACTATATTCTCCACTCCCTGACACACTTTCTGTGTAAAGAGTGAATCACCCTCTTTTTCATCAACATGTTTACCATGCCCATCTCCAAATTTATTTCCCGATTCCCCCGAAAGCAGCAATAATGCCCTTTTCCCTAGCCGATTGGTTACATCGCCCAAAACGGGACGAGGTTTTTGAAACCCATCAGCAGAATTATCCCCACCCATCATGAATTCACTTGCGTGACACAAAAAACATCAATCCAATCCTGGGTCTAACATTAAATATATGTGTGTATAAATTCAAACCCTACTTTGATCCAATCTTCTGATCCAAACAGAAAAAAAACAGTTTTTTTCCAAGTGGTATGTAATCAATTTTTTTCCACAAAGATGTGCAAAAGCACCAACAAACCGGGGGACGATAAAAACCCTAGAAGAGTTGAAAGCAATATAAAAACACAAAAAAGGTAATGGGTATTGAGAATCTGGAACATGAAAATCTAAGGGCAAATTGAGATTAGTGAGTCACTGACCTTTGTAGAGAAAATTTAAGAGATTTGGGGAAATCTTTGGAGGTGTTTGTTGGGAAGGAATCTGCAATGTGTGGTGGTGTTGATAGGTTTCACTTTCTATAAATTCACTCACAACAAGCCAAACAAGCAAGCAAAGAAAGTTATTTTTTTCTTTTTTTTCTTTTTTCACAAAGCGGGAAAGAGAGAGAACTTGCAATTATTCGAGCGGGATATGAATCAGCACAGCGCCTTTGAAGTTTCAAGATAAATTTGGGGGGAAGAAAGAAGCGAGCCGCGCGTTGGTGTGGGTCCTGGGCCCACAAATCACATTATCCCCGATTGGTACCAAATCAAATCACCACCGTTGAGATCTGAATTTTATTGAAAAAAATACCCAATTATCAAAAAAATAATGACAAATTAAAAAGATTGTTAAAAGTCTTCTTTTAATTTTTAATTTTGAGTTATATTATTTTTTTATTTTTTTATACGTATTTTAGAAAGGAAAAAAATTTAACTTTTAACCAACTTTTCAAAACAACTCATAGTGAATAAATTCATTTTACTTTTATGAGTTTGTAATTATTTTTTTTATTTTTATGTTTTCTCCAATTTTATTTGTTAATAAAATTAAAATATTTTGATTTTTTTAAATTCACTAAATACAAAAAAATATAAAAATAGATTGACTTTTAAAGCATTCTTATCAGATTACCTAAATTTTACCCTTAAATATTATTAAAAAATTCATTCCATATTTTAAGAATTACTTTTTTCATTTATTTCTCCTAACAAACTCCTTATTACTTTTCTATTCTATTAATAAACTCTCAATTTTTTCTCTATTTTATTAAAATATAATTTTTAGTTATAAATTTTTAAAAAAAATCATAAATGTGTATTGCAGTCCGTAAACAAAATAAAGCACATATATATATATAATAATAGGGAGTCACTGTAACAATTCTTATGTTAAGGAAGTGTTTAAGGACTCTAATGGAAGGATATAGGGAGCCACTAATTCTTTAAAATAGGTAAGTATGAAATTTAGGTGTTTTATTAGGGATGCTCTTAATATTTTTGTATTAAATGAAATTTTAAAAATATATATTTTATAAATTGTGTGATTGAAAATGTAAACAAAAAAAAAAAAAAAAAAGAAGAACTTGATTAAAAAATCAAATTGTTTAATAAAAAATATAAATTCAAAATTCAAAAAATTATTTTTAAAAACTTCAAAACCAAATAGAGTCTTCTTTTGGGATGTGAGTTGGCTTTTTAACTATTTTAACATGGGGCTAGAAAATCTCGTTTGAGATAGATTTTTTGACTTTTTTGACTTTTATGAGAGAAAAAATAAAATAATTATGGTTTTGATATAACATTTTATCTTATTAACTTTTTAGTATATTTTGATTTTTTGTGACTATTTTAACTCAAAAAATTTATACCAAACATAGCTAGAGTATTTTATTTTATTTTATTTTATTTTTTTGCAATTCATAATTAGGGCCAACACTTTAATTGAGTAAATTTATTGTCAGTCACCATATAATGGGTTGTTTTGGGAAGTTGGTAAAAAATTAACTTTTGGTTTTTTACCAAGTTTTTTGGTTTTTTTGGAAGTGATTTGGAAAGTTGGTAAAAAATTGACTTTTTTCTTTTTAGTTTAATATTTATTTATGGTGTCAAATCAAATTAAAATGACCAAAATACCCTTACCAACATAAGAGATTTATTTTTATTTTTTTTTCATAGGTCCTAATTTGTAATTTTAGGACTGCATTTTTGACACTTCCCGGAGGAATTTTGTTGCATTTTTGGCAGCCCTTGTCCAAAAACGTGGCTTTTTACTATGTTCCCAAAATGGCACAATATGTTCTTCTCAAGTCCATCATATATATTTTTGGATAATCTTATTAGACATGGATGGTCACTCAAAAAAATATATGAACAAAAAATTTAAAAACTATAAAATATATTATTATTATTTTATATAAAATTTTCTTGTTTATTTTATTTTTTATTTAAAATCTCAATGAATTTGAAATAAAAATTGAAAAGCAAAAATGCTTCCGACCCCAGTGACCCCCAGTTACGTGGCAAACTCACGTGATGTTCACGTGACTATCAACGGTCTCACATTTGAAAATAATCTCCCCTCAAAACACTTATCTCTCTCTTCGTTCCCTCTTGATGGTTGAGACGGCTGGACTAGTAGGTAGTTCCCTTCACTCCCGACGCCGGCGACAGCTCCTTCCCTTCACTCCGACGCCGAATTCGCGACTCTCTCTGTCTCTTTTTCCCTGTCATTCGACGATTAAGAGGTAAATTTCCCTTCACTCCGAAGATCCCTATCATCCGATAAATATATATATATATACATCTATCTGTATATATATATATATGTATCTGCATTTATATCTGTGTATAATTGGGTTGAATGTTTGGATTTACTGTTTTTGACAATCTGATAAACGAATTGAAAGATTAAAGTTTGGCATTTTGATTTGGGAGTTGAATTTAGCCTTTTGATTTGGGAATTGTGGCCTTTTGAATTTGACCTTTTCATTTGCAGTTTTAGCTTGCAATAAACCTGCTCGATGAAATGCCTCAATGAATGGTTCCTGCAAAATTCTTCAATGGTTCCTGTTTGTTCCTGTTTTTTCCTCTAAGTAGTAGTAAGCAAGTGCCTCTAATTATATACAATGTTTCACAATGATTTTCAGTCCAATTTTCATAATGATTTTCAGTCTAATTATATACAATGTGTCCCATTCATAATGATTTTCAGTCCTTTTCAGTCCATTTTGGGAATTGCTTGTATGTGCTTATATGTGAATTTCCATTTTGGGATTTGCTTATATGTGTTTGATGTAATAATTATTTGTTGAAGAATTTACTTCATAACAAGTTTTTCTGGTCTTATGAATTTTGAAATGACTGTTGTAAAAAAATGAAAGCAGATAGAACTCCCTTTCTCAACTAGTAGAACTCTCTTTCTCAACTAATGTTCTTCCAGTAATTTGAAATGATTTATGGAAACAAGTGATAAGTAGTAGAACTCCTATATAGGAAACTACTGCCTCCCATGACAATGAAAACCCATCTCTTCTTCTAGTTTCCAATACACCCAAATCAAATAGAAAGTTAAATGCAACCCATAGTGTGCCTTCAAATCCAAGTTCTCAAAATGACCGAACTGTGATTTATAAACCAGCTTTATGACAATGATTTATATCTATGATTTACGCAGGTTACCTGTTCATAAGCTGAATTTTGATTACAAAATACATTAGTAATAAGTGGTTTAGATAATTGGGATTTATAGATCCCCATAAGCTAAATAAATCATGTTCAGAATTAGTTCAGCTTATTTAGAATTTATTACGAATGTATTTTTAGAATAAATCATAAGCTGTTTTAGTAAGCTGAACTTATTACTAATGTATGGGATTCATAAGCTGAACTTATTACTAAAAGTCTGTTCATAATTTGGAATAAATCCCAATAAGCTGAACTTGAATTTGGAATAAGCCTGTTCATAATTTATGAAACCTGTTCATAATGTATGAAACCTGTATCTATGAAACATAATCTTGGAAACCTGTCTATCCAAGATTATGACAGGATTATGAAACATAGACATAATTTTGGAACATAAACATAGACATAATTTCAGAATTAGTTCAGCTTATTCAATCCCAATAACCTGTATCTATGAAACATAATCTTGGAAACTTGTCTATCCAAGATTATGACAGGATAGACATAATTTCAGAAACTTGTCTATCCCAATCTTGGAAACCTGTTCATAATTTCATAAACCTGTTTCATAATCTATGAAACCTGTATCTATGAAACCTGTATCTATGAAACATAACAGGATGGATCCAAGATTATGAAACATAATCTTGGTTTTCATAATCTTGGATAGACAGCTTTATGAAATTATGAACAGGTTTGAAGACTAATTGTAGACGTCCCCGAACGCCCCGGGAGGAACGAGCTCCCGTTCCGTTCATATTGGGGTCACTACAGCTCAAGACTCTCAAATTTGTCATGGTTCTAAGTCTGAACCAAAGAGTCCAAATCCGACAAATCGTTTTGAGAAAAACAGATTTTTGAAAAGAAGTGCCAAACATGGACTGCTTTGCCAGATACAGAGTCGCCACCTAAATGTTTTTTAACGGAAAATTTAGGAAACCCTGACTCGGTGCCAAAGGCCACGTGTCCGTCATCACCAAAGTTGCCTCGGCTCGGGAACTTGGGTACGATTGGGGAAGGTCACTTCGTGAGCACCCCCGCTCGCCCGATCAAAGATCGGCCTCTACTAACCATGATATCTATTTTTGAAAACTTTGTGTGTCCTTATTCCGGTTATTAGCCTAGGTTACTATGTGATGCACACAGCATATAAGTATAGACTGGGTCGCCCGAATTGGAACAAAACATTTCATGCTTGTTTATTTGAAAGATGGTTTGCTACTCGCAAGTAGGCTTAAAATGCAGATTTTGCCACCCGCAGGTGGGCTTAGAAAAGATGGTTTTGCCACTATCTAGTGGGCTTAAAACAAACAGTTGATGATTTATTCCAATCCAAGTAACCCAACCTTCACCCACATGCATTCAGGCAGTTGTATCACATAAGCAATTAGCCTCATAGTAAGCATGCTATTCATGACAGTCACTCACACGCATGTAAGGATGCTAAAGCATAAAACTCACCGAGTACTCCAAGCCAAAACAGAAACTCATTAGAAATCATGCATGAATCCTAAGTATACAGAAATGCCTAATGCAACACATGCAAAAATGCAACTATAGCAAGCTCGTCTATTCTAAACATAGCATATGGAATGCTACAGCTAACATGTATTCAATTTGGAATTGAAAGTACGATGCAGTTAGTATGGTGCGCCGAGCCCGGTGCATGAAAAACAGATGAATGGATGTAAACATGCTATCATACTGTATGCTAATTGAAATATGCCCTAATCTAACCATCATAAGCGGATAAATAAAAGGGAAGAAAGACGTGGGGTTGGAAGACATACAACACACACACGCACACTTATTATAGTTATGCCCTCGCGCAGAGGGTCCGAATAAATAATACAGTCCCGAATAAAAGAATATTACAGTCCAAATAATATACAAATTCCTAATTAATTAACAAATTAACTAAGAAAACTGTAAAACTGGCGTGCAAGCCAGGGACTGCCTTGCTTCTGATGAATGATGTATATTTAGGCTGCTTTGCGCGAAAATCCACTGGGATGCCCCAATTAGCCTCTGTTTACACCTGTTCTTGAAAAGCGTGCAAAGCCCCGAAAAGTTGTTGATTCTTCATTTTGCTGCAACAGAGAGCAGGAAAGAGGCATAGCAATGTATTTTCACAAATATATGCATACCTCGATCCTCGTGCCACCAATCACGCATATCGATGCATGATGGCCGAGGAGTCAATTTGCATTACTTAATATAGAATGAATGCACGTGTAAACATAACAAGAACCTAACTCCATCATGGGTAATTCGGAGTGTCGGTGACTGGGAATTGAGACACATTCCGTCACTCGGAGTACGAAACGCACCTCGTTTCCCGTGCCCGGGCTAACTCCTATCCCGAAGACAATGCAATGTGCATGATATGCATGGATGCAACTAAGATACAGCCTAGTATGCACTATGCTGTGAAAATGAGATGCCTCGAAATGCGTGCACACGAGCTCGCAAACCGAGAAAATGACATGAACGCGATCTAAGATACAACCTAGTATGCACTATGCTGTGAAAATGAGATGCCTCGAAATGCGTGCACACGGGCACGCAAATCGAGATAAGCCTCCCAAATCATCCCAACGTGCACGCACACTTCAAACAAATCCTAAACTTTCCATCCATTTTCAACTAGTGGGCTTTTAGGACATTTTACATCAAAAATTGCCTATATATACCACACCCGTAGCTTGCAAACTCACACAACACACTCACTCACACACACATTTTGGTTAGAGAGAGGGAGGAGAGCAAGGAAGACAAGTCTAGAGGAGAAGAGGGAGAAAGAAAAGAGTTTCTTGTGTAAAGCTTAGAAGGTAAGCCACAAACACAACCTTCTATTCATTTCCTTTTCTAATGCATGTTTTTAAAGATTCTAAATAATGTTTTTCAGATCTGTTAATATCAAGTTCTTATGTTAAAATTTCTAAGATTTGAGCATTGAGTCCATCTCTCTTGTATTTTCCCCTTTTTGGCACAAAACCATCCTCTTTTATTACCAATCTCTCAACCTTCCAAGGCACACTTTCAAGCAAACTTTCTGAGTAAATATATGTTAGTTAGCATGTTTTCTTCACAAAATAAATGAAAACTTTCCCT